GGGCGTCTCAGCGCCTGCTTCCGTTGCTCTGCCCTTTCTTCCCGCGGGGGGCTTCAGTGCCCATTACTGTGTGAGCGTCTATCAGCCCAGCCTGTCCTTGCCTGCTGCTCCTTGGAGTCACCTCTGATGTCATCCCTGCCACAACCACAGCTTCCTGCAGCCTGGGTCAGGAAGTGCATCCAGCAGTCCCCCTCCGCCTCCACCCTCCCAGAACCAACCCAGACATGCACCATGATGTTTTCCTCTCACTTCCGTGACAGTTGCTCCCTTCCCTCCTGTGTGTCCGGCTAGCATCTTGCGGTCACCCAACAAAGGGATTGTCCCAGGAACGGTGCCGTCAGCGGCAGTCTCCCGTACTCCCCTGGGGATTCTGGGAGGACAAGAACCAGGACTTAACATCCTCCATCTCAAGAGCGTGGCACTGGCTCTTGCTCTTGCTCATGGAACTAGTAGCTAATGCTTCCTAAGCACTTCGTGTGTGCCAAGTGGTGCTGTAACTGGATTATAAATATATGTGGCTTTAATTTTTGTAACAACCCTAGGAGGCAGGTTATTGTCTCCATTTTACAGATGAGGAAACTGAGGGACAGAAGCAATCAGGAAACTCCTTGTTCCAGAGCAAATATCGCAGAAGCTGGGATTGTATACAAAACCTAGCAGATCTCAATCTATACTTCTATCTGGTGTGCTCAGTTACTTCTTATACTAATTCTCAACAGAGAATTAAATAAAGGGAGTAACCCAAATGACTAAAAGATAAGGATTATGTGAAAGTATTACACACAGTTTGTTCAGCATCTTGGAGAAATAAGATGCACAGATATTAATTTTGTTTTTCTTTTCTCTCTCTCTTTTTTTTTGGCATTGGGGATCAAACTCAGGACCTTGCGCTTGTGAGGCAGACACAGTGCCACTGAGCTAAATCCCCAGCTCTTGTTTTTTGTTTTTGGTACTGGGGATTGAATTCACGACCTTGTGCTTTTGAGGCAGGTACAGTGCCACTGAGCTAAATCCCCAGTCCCTAATTTTCCAGCTAGTTTAAATTATTCTCTTTGGTTTCCATCTCTTAAGTTATTTCTAAAATTATTTCTAAAATCAAGCACATATTCTCCTGCCTGATTAGATAGTTCATGGAGCACAATCGTTTCTTTTAACTAGGACCATCATTGTGATAGCAAATGTTACACTATAATCTGATATTTATTAACATTTAATAAATAACAAGGAATGTGCAGGTACTTTAAAGTACGGTTCCTTGCTTAGTTTGATAGGCCTATGATTTGTTTCTTAGTACATGTCTGTGGTAATAAGGAATACATTCTTCTTAGGGACTTGGTAAATGTACATACTTCATCTTAGTCCTTTTTACTTCCCCCTCCTCTCCTCTCCCTCCCCCTGCCCTCCATCTCTAGAACAATTTGTTTTTGTTTTAAACTCTTGTTTATATTTCTGGGTGTATCTTTAGGTGTTTCTGACAGTTTCTTTGGTCTTCCCTGATACAACAGGGCAGTAACTTGTCACTGCTTGCTCCCAATCTGCTGTTTACCAGGGCATCGCTGCTTCTACCTGAGTGTTGTTGATCACCTGAGAGAAGATTTAGGTCATCAGATTTGCTGACTATTGTTACCCAAAATCCTTCATCCATGGGCTTTCTGTCTAAGCACTGCCAGAGTGACAGGAGTGCTTGGGAAGAAAATACTTTCATTTCCTGGATGATCGTACACTGTTTTGATGAAGATTCCTTGCCAGCTATTGGGCCTGCCAACAGGATGACATTTTTTGTGATTTAGCAAACTTTGTCTTTGACCTATTGAAATTCATTGAGAAACTCAGTCAAATTACAAGATTTAAAGTGGTTGGTGCTTTCAGGCTCAATTTCCCCCTTAAACATCAGGTTCTTACAGGGTAAGCAATAAAGAAAACATTTTATTTAAAAGTTACCTCCAGAGTTAGTACATATAAATATAAATATAAATGAAGCAGGCTCCAGGTTTGGGATTATTCAGGTTGTAGGTTTATAAGGGCTTGGGTGAAGAAAACAAAAAAGCCTTATCAAGGTCACTGATGTTTGTTTGTTTTGAGACAGGATCTCACTATGTGGCTTAGGCTGATGTTGAACTCTCACCTGCTGCCTCAGCCTCCCAAGTACTAGGATTACAGGTGTGCACTACCACATCTGGCAAGGTCACTCATTTTTCACGTTAGCCAGCGAACTTGGCAAAGTTGACCTCTGGAGTTCTGAGCCTATTCTGGACCTAAAGTCAGGTGATCACAATTCTAATGTGGTCCCAACACTTCCTAATTGGTCCCTAATCTCCATATTCTTATGTCTAGAAGGACTGAGTTATGATTGCTAGATGAGGGGTGTCTGTTGACGAGCAAGAGAAGTTACTTCTGGCTGGTTTATGTGAGAGGGAATCTGAAGGCGCTAAAGGACATGAGCAGAGTCAAAGGGAGCTGCTTGGAAGAGATGGCAGGGCTCTAAGGAGCTTGGTCTCATGATTTTGGCATCAGTCCCACAGGAGTGCACCATGTAGGGAACCCAGCTTTCCTGGGTTTGTGTTGAGACTTTTGTGGTCAGGACTCAGAGGCCAGAGGAGTTGGTTGTACCCAGGGGAAAGGAGATCAGCACCATCACCAGAGGAAAAGGGTGCGGAAGTCCACAGCCAAGGTCCACTGCAAATGCTGCCCACCTTGGGACATGTGACCTCTGTCAGAGTTCTCATGTGTTCCTCATGAGCTGGAAGGACATAGGATGGTTTTCTTGCTCATAGTGACTTAGATGTGGCTTCTGTTAGAGGCTTTTGCTGGACACCTTTCAGGAGAGGCTGATCCCAAGGGAAGAGACCCACGTGCTGGTGAGATGGCCTGCATGCACCTCTGTCGTGTGCCCTGTGTCCCCATCTTTTTTTTTTTTTTTTTCCTTTGGTACCAGGGATCAAACTCAAGACCTTGTGCTTTCGAGGCAGGCTGCAGAACCACTGAGCTAAATCCCTGGCCCCTGTGTCCCTGTTTGACAGCAGGGCACTGGTACTTGCTCTATCTGTATTGCAAACTTGCTGTATGGACTAAAAGAAATAATGTGGATTAAGCCATAGGAGCCATAGGAGCAAGCATCAGGTATATGTGATTATAGTGCATAGCTTGGTGCTTTGTGCCATAGGAGACTTTAAGATTCACCTATTCCTGTGCATCTGTATTTATACATTTGTTATTTTCTCACCTATTTTTTTTGTAAAATCTAGAAAGAATTTGAGAAGTGTAAAGCAGTATAATATGCCAGTTTCTGCCTTTTGCTTACTTGCAATCTGTCTGGCACTACAGGATAATTCCTTCATAATCAAAATTATGTCTCCTAGGAGTTTATAACTGAGCACTAAAGACATACAGACAAAGGGCACAGCAGGGTGGGGGGCAGGGGCCCTGCTGTAGTCAGGAGCAGCCTGGAGAGGGGCAGGCTGGTGGGCAGCCGCTGTCTGGTACCTTCCTAATGAGTATTTGAGTGCTAAACTCTTAGGTGAGCTCTATCCAAACAAAACAAGATGTGAACCACATATGTGACTTAAGATTTTCCAATACCGCATTTTAAAAAGAAACCAGTGAAATTTAACAATATATTGTATTTTACTAATTATACCTAAAATAACATCATTTGAGCATGTAATCAATATTAAAATATAAGGAGATAACTTTTTTTGGTACTGTTTTTGAAATCTGGTCTGTATTTTAGACTTAAAATACATCTCAATTCCAATTAGTCACAATTCAGGTTTCAACAGTCACTGTGACAGGGGCCACCATGTCAGCCAAGCCCTTGATGTACAGGAAGAGGATAAGGTAATCAGGGAAAGAAGGGATAGTCAGAAGGATTTATTGAGCACCTATTAACTACTAGGCAGGACTAGCTTGAAGCATTTGACGAACAAAATATCAGGACCCATTTTTACTTAGTATGTTCATATTTTTTCATTCTGAATATTTGGTCATAATTTTTTTAGGGGGGGCATACTAGGGATCGAACTCAGGACCTTGTACTTTCGAGGCAGGCAGTAGAACCACTGAGCTAAATCCCCAGTCTGGCCCTAATTTTGATTTAAATATTGTATAAAATAATATTTATCTTGATTAACTGTTTTGGTCCCTTTTATATTTTATGTTCAAGGTCCCTCTTATATTTTATGTGAGTATCTCACACAACATTCACCCTCCACCATGCCCTGATACCAAGTACTTTTTAAAAATATATATCTTTATTGTTAATTGATATGATAATTATGCATGTTTATGGGGTACAGTGTGATGTTTTAATATATGTATGTAATACATAATGATCAGATATAATGATCAGATCAGGCATTTACAAATTGTCATTTATCATTTGTTTGAGTTGGGAACATTGAAAACCCTTTCTGCTAGCTCTTTTGAAATATTGAATTATTGGTGTCAACCACAGTTACCCTACTGTGCTGTACCAAGCCCTTTCTAAGAGATTTCTAGTACCTCCTTTAGAGAAACTACCTGGAACCAAATGAACTGTGTATCAGAAAATGGAGTGGACTCTTCTATCTTGCTAAGCCTTGGGCCTCAATGCTTCAAATAAATTTTCAACTGAACTCAAGTTAGAAATAAAAAGACACTGGTAAACACGCTGAAATTTGAACTGCATCTATGAACTAAACTGAAAACTTTGAAAATATTTCAGGGCCAAACCATAACCCAGGAGAGAGTTCACTGCCTTGGATTCCCTGGTCAAGGTGCCCCTAACTTCTGTGCAACCCCAGCTTGGGGAAAAGAAGGAAAACAACAGTTTCCCAAGAACACGCTGGGCCGCCTTTCCTTCCCACGTTTTAGCTCTCACCTCCAGATCTTAAGGGCCTGGTATCCGAAGTCTCTCTGAATAATGACTATATTGGAAATGTTGTGTTGAAAGAGGTAACTTTGATACTGAAAAAAAGGAAACATCTTATTTTATTTTCAAGTAAATTTTTTTTTTCTTTTAGGGAACTAAGAAACAAGGCAAATATTCAATTTGGAGACAATGGAACAACAATATCTGCTGTTAGCAACAAGGCATATGTTTTTGAACGAAATCAATCTGTTGGAGACCCTAAAGTTGATTTAATTAGAACATTAAATATTCCTGCATTGGTAAGTAGGAATTCTAATATCATTTTAATATAATTTTATATTATTTGTGGAGTTTAGAAGAAAATAAAAAAGGCAATGCAATTAATGGTGTTACATTAAGGAGCTATTATGTTAAAAATATACTACATAAAAAGGAAAAGACATGTTTTTCTCTCCTTTCTTTAAGTTTTATCTTAGTTTTTTCTGAGATCTATCAACGTCTTTCTCAATGACAATAAATACAGTTTTCCATTTGTACAATTTCTTGTGTTTTGAGGATTAGCACTTGTGCTAATAAATAGGGTTTCTTTTGTAGTTTGTAATTTAAAACATGTTTTTGCCCCTTTGTCTTAGAAATTGTAGCCGTAGCTTTTGCATATCACTTCTTAGTTCAGACTGCTACCTGCCGTGTTTCCCTGATAAGACCTAACTGGAAAATAATGAGCCTTGAAAAGGAGAGGTCCCAAATGCCAGCCCCCATCCACCTGTCCCTGCGGACCTGCCCTCACTGTTCTCGCGCTCCCCTGGCTCCTCCCTGAGGCAGGTAAGGGAAGGACAGGCTGATGGGGGCTGGCAGTTTTGAGCTCTAGCTTTCAAGGCTGATTGTTTTCCAGTTAGGTCTTATTTTCGAGGAAACAGGGGTTGCATTTTAAATTCTCAAAATATATGAATTGACTTCTGGCTTCCTTTTCAAATAGCAGAGCTTGGGCTCTTCATTAGATCCCACTCTGACTCCCCCCACTGGAGATTGCACCTTATAATACCGTTCTTGTCTTCCCTCACCTCTTTCGAGGCCCCCACCCCAGCTCCTAGCACCATGGTGGCAGAAGGTGACTCAGGGACAGAGATCCTAGGCCTTTCCAGGGCGCTGGAGCGGAAAACCAGGCCCCAACCTCCGGCCCAGCCGAGGGGAATGGCGCCACCTCGTGGCCGCAGATGCCAACCTCGTCAAAAGAGCTTTCCCGTCTGTGTTGGTGTAACTTGCCCTGCAGATGGGAAAGTGAAGCTCTTTCTTACAAAATGTGACAGAGAAAGGACAATGACCCAAGAGTCTCGTTCTCTCCCGTTTGCAGCCAGAGAGGAGCTGGCTGGCTGATTTTTCTGTCGCTTGCTCCGCATGATTTACTCCATGTTTCCGTCCCTGTGGAGGGGTGGCGGGAGGAGGCGGGTGCTGTGCAGGGACCGACCCCTTGTCTGTGCCCCTAGACTGCCATGGAGTGGACGCGGAACCCCTTCCTCCGGGACATCATCGAGGCTGTGCTCAAGGCCTACAAGCAGACGCTCTTCATCACCCACACTGTGCATGAGCTGCTCTGGGGCTACAAAGACGAGCTCTTGTCGCTGGTCCACGCGTTCAAACCGGACGTCTCCCCCTATTTCGGCCTGTTCTATGAAGTGAGTAAGGAAGGGGCATCCTGGCCAGACTTCACCTCCACTGTGGTTTTTGATAGGAGACGCCCACAGTCTGGTGTGCTAGATAGATGTCTTGCAGACTGTGTGAAAAAGAAGAAAGGTTGGGGAGGGAAGGAAACAGGGGTGGTGGTGCACACCTGTAATCCTAGCTCTTGGGAGGCTGAGGCAGCAGGATCCCCACGAGTTCAAGGCCAGCCTGAACTACTTAATGAGACCCTATCTCAAAAACCATGGGGGGGGGGGGTTGTTCCTCGAAAGGGGAGGAAAACTGAGTAAAATGGATCAGTAATTGAGAAGTTGGTAAGTTGGTAATAGACAAAATTAACTCCAGGAAGAAAGTGTTAGGTTAAGGGTGGCCTCTGAGACTGTGAGAAGTTTGCTCATCTTTGAATTTATAGTTATTAGCTTGGGTGTAATGATGTATATCCATAATCCCAGCACTTGGGAGGCTGAGGCAGGAGGATCACAAGTTTGAGCCAACCCTGAGCAACTTAGTGACTCAGTGAGAACTTGTCTTAAAAAAAAAAAAAAAAAAAAAAATTAAGGGGCCAGGGATTTAGCTCTGTGGTTCTGCCACCTGCCTCGCAAGCGCAAGGGCTCGAGTTCAATCCCGGTACCAAAAAAAAAAATTTAAAAGTGCTAAGAATGCCACTCAGTGTGAAAGCCCTGGGTTAGATTCCCAGTACCACAAACACAAATAAATAAAAATTCAACATGCAGTCATTTTTTTCATTAAGTTTATTGGTACTTTTTAGGTTTACAATACAGTTACATTCATCGTTGAGATCTGGTACCTTTACATGATGTATCTTGGTTCTTATTTTTTCCCCATTCCCCTGCCCTCCCTTCACCCCCTCCACCCTTCCCTATTTACA